TTGCAAGGCAGGCATGGTGCCACTGAGCTAATCCCCAGTCCCGTTAATAGGGTTTTGAATTTTTCCAACCCAAAGAAATGAGAAATGTTGGAGGTATTATGCTACTACTGTGATCTTGGTAAGGAAATAATGTACAACATGGCAAACCTTTATCTGTTCCCAACCCCCTCAACCATGTTTTTGCCAGGAATCAAGATATTTTGTTAAGGTTCCTGTATTACAAATACAACGGTTCAAGCAATGTAACTGTTCAAGCCTCCTAACCGCAAATATAACTGTACAAGAAGCAAGATGTTCCTACCTTATGTTTCAGGATGTTCCTACCTGATGTTTCAAGATGTTCTGTTAACTCTGTCCTTCTGCTTCTGTAAACATGCTTGCCCAGCATGTGAACCCAACTCCCCTACCCCACAGATCTCTACGTAAGGTTGCTTCAATGTCTGTCAGGGGCTCAGACTTCAGAGTCTGAACTCCTCTAGGCCCACTGGCATAATAAAAGGTTCTCTCTATCTCTCTGAATGCTGCTCACCTTTTTTTACCTCTGGAGACCTTCCAATAGCTGTGACACTTGGCTGTAATGCTGAGCTGTCAAACTTTGCTGTAACAATCTGATCCTTACATACTGTATATATGTGCTGATGTGTCACACCATACCCCATAAATATGTATAATTACTACATGTCAATTAAAAATACAAACATTTTTAAAAAATATAATTGTTTTGTCTTTTTGAGACAGGGTCTTGCTATGTAGTTCAGGCTGGCCTTGAACTTGAGGCGATCCTTCTCCCTCAGCCTCCCAAGTGCTGGGATTACAGCTATGCACCACCATGCCTGGCCTAAAAATATAATTTCTTGACAGTTGTTATGGCTGAGATCTAGCTGTCCCCCAAAGACCTTATGCATTCATAGATGAGGCTTTTGGAAGAGGACTAAACCACGGGAGCAGTATAGCTGACTTGCTGTTAGGAAGTAGGGCCTTGTCAGAGGAGATGGGTCATTTGGGAGCATGACCTGGAAGAATATATCTCCCTCCCCAGCTCTGCCCTTCTCTCTCTGCATCCTGGCTGCCAGGAAGAGAGCAGTTTTCTCTCTTTGCCCCTCTGCCATGCTGTTTCTGCCCTGGAGCAAGCCAACCATGGACTATAACCGTGAGCCAAAATAAAGTTTTCCTCCTTTATGTTGTGAGTGTCAGGTATTTTGTCTTGATGAGGAAAGTGACTAAGACAATAGTTTTCCATCATCCTCTAATTCCTGCTCCTCAGAAGCAATCATTTTTATTCTTTTTATAGCCTGTTATTTTGTTTAGCATTTTTTGGTTTTTGTTTTGTTTTGCGGTACCAGGGATCAAACTCAGGACCTTGGGCTTGCTAGGCAGGCGTGGTGCCACTGAGCTAAATCCCCAGCCCTATAGCCTGTTATTTTGATGTTTATTTAAACAATATGCTTATATTGCTACTTAAAGTTTTTGGCATTGCATATTGACTTCCCACTGAAAGATAAGAATGCAGTTATCTCATATTCCTCCCCTTCCCCATCACATAAACCTACACTCTACTTCCAACCTTCCAACCACTAGTATGGTTATATCTTCATATTCAGCATGTACTTTACTTTTTATTATTGTTAGTTTGTTTTTCAGACAGGGTCTCACTATGTAGTTCAGGCTGGCCTTGAACTTGCAGCAATCCTCCTGTCTCAGCCTCCTGAGTGCTAGGATTACAGGCATGCACCAGCACGTCCGGCATACTTTACTGTTAAAAAACAAAATTAAAACAAATCTAGTTTTGTAGATCTTTACTGGCTTTGAGATTCTAGAACAGGACAGCAGTCTGGACCAAAAATGTTCATAATGCTCCACACTACCCCACGGGCCAGTTATACTGCTAGCCAGAGGAAAGGAAGTGATACACAGGAAATGGAAGTAAGGTATAAAGACAGCCTGATTCATTTGCTAAATTTTCTACATGCCTCTCATTAATTTGACCCCAAATTCCTTATGTAGTATAAATCTTTCTGTAAGTTAAAAAATAATAGCTTGTATTTGAAATGAAATACTAGTTTCATTTTTTTTGAGTTCCCTAACTAGTTCTAAACTAAACTGGCTTTGTGGGCTTGCTAAGTATATAGCTGTTATCTCTTTACTATCAGCCTGGGGATTCCCTTTGCTTTTCTCTTATGTGGGTTCTCTGCATTTTGGATTTGATGCTTTCATGTCTCTTGACTTACTCCCCTGACTTCAGACAACATCCATTAATTTCCTGAGAAAAGGTATATTGGACATAATTGAAATAATAATAATGAACATGTCGGGGCCGGAGAGTTAGCTCAGTGGTTCTGTCGCCTGCCTTGCAAGCGCAAGGACCTGAGTTCGATCCCCAGTACCAAAAAAAAAGAACATGTTTTCTTATACTGTTATAGTATGACTGGGCATAGAATTCTAGGTTAGGATATCACTTTCCCTGAAACTTTTTTTTTTTGTGGTACCAGGGATCAAACTCAGGACCTTGGGCTTGCCAGGCAGGCATCGAAACCACTGAGCTAAATCCCTGGCCCTCTAATATATTTTAGATGCTTAAATATGAACAGATGTCAGGGCCGGGGATATAGCTCAGTGGTTCTGGCGCCTGCCTTGCAAACACAAGGTCCCGAGTTTGATCCCTGGTACAAAAAAATGAACAGATGTTAATGTTATTCATTTCTGGAACTCTTTTAAATTCAATTTTTATAAAATCCAAGATCAAAAAATAGCAAATTTTTCATCACCTATATATAACACTTGAAATCAAATGTTAAGTAGAAGAGTTACAAATACATTGTCAATTACAATAAACAAATTTAATCAGTGAGTAAAAACTAAATCTGCAGATATTTATAAAGTGCTTATATGAGCAAAACTTACAGATTAATTGAACTTTTGAATATGGTAATTTTTACTTTCAGAATTAGCCTTTTTACCTTACAACTTCTAAGGCCAGAGCAATATCCCATATATCTGCATCTCGTCCTTCAATGGGATACACTTCCAAGAGAGGTACATTGTGCTCCAGTTCCTCCAAAATCCCATCAACCAAATCCCTTGGAATGTTTGCAATGTTAGAAGAAAAAGGCTCAGCAACAGAAACAGTAACTTCAAAACAAGTTGATGAGTTCTGGTGTGGTTTACAAGTTACCTAAGATAAATATTAAAAATTATAGTTCCAAATTCAAGCAAACCATAAGAATTTTTTTCATATATGAATTGTAAAGTTTAAGTTTTTAGACTTCTCTAACAATCAATATACAGAATAATTATGCACAAATATCACTAGTTTTTCAAACTCTATTTCTTCAACAAGTTTTAATTTTCTCAAAAGGAATTGTGTATCCCCTCCATTATTTACTGTATTTCTAAGTTTAGTTGTCAGATTTTTGTGGTACTGGGGTTTGAACCTTTCCACTGAGTTACATTCCCTATATTTATTTTTTATTTTGAGACAAGGTCTTGCTAATTTGTTAAGCTGCCCAGGCTGAGCTTCAATTTGCAATCCTCCTGCCTCAGCCTCCCAGAGTGCTAGGATTATAGCTATGTGCCACCATGCCCCTTGAGTTGCCAGAAGTTTGGATTTCATACAGCAGTAATACTTAAACAATTTTTTTTGAGTAAGGAGACTGAGGCAAGATCACAAGTTCAAGTCCAGCCTGTGCAACTTAGTGAGACAGTCTCAAAAAAAAGGCTGGGGATGTAGCTCATGAGAGATTGCTTGCCTAGCATTTGCGAGACTCTGGGTTCAATATATTTGTTATTTACATTATGTTAATTATATTACACAATGTATTAGATATTGTAAAAGAAAGGTCACCCAAAAGGCAAAAAAAAAAAAAAAAAAAGTAGGAAGGACATAAAAAATCTTCAGTTCAAATAAATTTAGCTTCATAAGCAACATGCTATATTGTTTGCTTATTTTATTTCACAGCAATAGAGAAATGTCTCGAGTAGTGTTCTGAAAATCTGTGCTGGCAGCATCATTTACTGATGACATAAGGCAAGTTATATTAGCAATGTGTATGACAGTAATCACTTTCTTAAATATAGGAAATATCTTCAAATACTATCTAAACTTTGAAATACAAATTTTATAATCAATTTAATATAAATTGTATTCTTCAAAGCAGCTATGGAACAGGAAAACCTTATAAAGCAGCAATATAAAACCAAATGTTTGAAGTGAACAGCAGTCCATATAATAAAAGAACAAAAATTTCCAAAAAGTAGTTATAAAATTTGATAGTCTTTTTTTCTAAGATTAGTTATTTTT